ATACCAAGAACTGTACACAAATATCAAGCACACTCACCAAAAACCAAGAACAGTGAAGTGCTGGTCGCAGGACTGGAATTCGATGAAACATTTGACCAGGGAGTTGGCCTGTCCCTAGAGGTTAAATCCCTATTTTGACACATCCCACTGAGTGGAGTAGCCAAACAAAGTAACCAAACTTTGCGTTTACCACGTCAAATACTCCAAATTTCCACAAACAAGTGTCAAGTCCACCTCAGGGTCCATTTCTTTTCTGCTTCAGGCAAGTTCTCGCGCCATGAAAGACGGACGAGGCCCCCGCGGTCTTGAGGGTGAACACGGGGACTGGCCCCACGGCAGCTTGTGCCGCGTTGGCTTTCGTGATGTCCACGTCGATGGGCGACGTCACACACTTCTCCATGTCCGACGCCTCGGCACCGAGCAAGCACAGGTGGCTGTGGGTTGCAACCCTGTACCCCTGGCGAACATTAAAAAGATGGCAAATGGATGTTCATCCACCCCAAAATGGAGCCAGAGGTTCTTCCCCATGGCCATGTATAACTTATAGCTGTGAAATCTGTCCCACTCCAGCGTTTTGCAGGGGAGAACATCCCTTGGTGTCACGGAACATCGCCCTAAAACCCGGCTTTCCACAACTATGTGGCAAGCCTGGCCCTTGGGATTTTGCTGGGAGCAAATTACCATCAGCAAACAAAGAACACGGGATACAAGAACCCACCCACCCAAACGACTGCACAAAAACTACGGGACGCTTCCATCAAAGGGAGCCTTCATTGTGGGTGAGCTCATTTTGCTCGGCGGGTGGAGAAGAGCGTCCAAGCTTTAACAGTCAACCCACCGAACAAAGCGGGGAAAGGGGTCGAATCCAGGCAACTTTGTGCCACCAGCGACGTGATGTTTAAATCTGGGAAAGTCGGAGTCTTGATTGCTCTTGTCCCCCTGATGAAAAGTTCCATCGTAGCTTGAATGGCAAAGCCCAAATTTCTTTCCAAAGATCCTGACAGGGCAAACAACTTGTTGGGTCACACCAAAAGGTCAAGCCGGTTTCATAAAATCAAAACCCGCTATGAACATTTGGCCGGGGTTTCAGGACGTGGCTCAGTGGAGCATTTGGCCGCTTCGCGCGCGAGCCTTGATTTCCCCCCCCCCCGGCCCCCCCGTCCCCCGCCGCCCCTCGGCGCAGCCGGGCGTCGCTGAGCCCAGCATCCCAGCAGTCCGCGGCTCGGTACCGCTGGTCCGCACCGATGGCCTCGATCCAAAGTGAGACATCCATTGGCGCCTTTCGAGGGTGAGCGGTTCTGAGATCACCGCAAAAAGAGTGACAAACTGTTCGTGGGTGAACTGGACACTCCAGTAAACCAACCACAAAACCTGAAAACCTCAAAGATGATTGGGGAGGGTACTCAAATCGCGCTAAAAAGGGAAAGTGAGGGGAAAACCTGACTCACTTGGGCGGTTCCAGGCCAAAAAAGAAGAAGAACAGCAGAGACCTCCCCCAACCGCGAATTTACCCGGACCCAAAAAGAAGCTCAATCGAAAAGCCTCATTTTGCGAGACCTCTTTTGGAGGTTCCATGTTGGTGGGAAGCAAAAACCGCTGGTTGATTGGTGGCACTCATTTCTTGTCACTATCCAATCTAAATTCAGGAATTTCAGACATTAGCACCCTGGTGAGCTTGTTAGCCCCACAACGCTCCCTACCTAAAAGCCCTTAGTTACCCCTCCAACTATGGCAACACATAGGGGGCGCTGAGCAGGGAAGGGGGGGCGGGCTCATGCTCCAGGACTGCCTTCCTTGAGACCAGGATTGTTGGAAAGAGGCGTCAAAGAAAAACGTAAGGTAACCGAGGAACCCACTTCGTGCCTTTCGGGTCACCCCAAAGCAAATCCCGGCTCAATTTGAATTGGCAAGAACCGCAACGAGTTTTTTTTTTGGGGGGGGGCAACTGGTGCAAACAATTCAACAGGGTTCAAAAGATAACCGATCAAAACTCAATGTGAAAAAAGCCGAACAAGGTGACACACCACCCTGGTTGTCGACCAAAAAGGCAACCCTTTGCCCAACTAGTCGCCGTTGCCTCGGTTACCACCCTAGAAATAGATCAGGAAATCCAGCTGCGAGCCCATGGAAAAAGCTCGGGTTGCAGGGGGTCTGACAGGCGAAGCCTTGCAAACTCCCGCAGATTTAGAACTCAGGATTAACCGAGCCGTATGGAAATGGAATCTAAGAACTGGACCCCCCCTTCTTGGTGTCCAGGAGGGGAAAAAAAGTAGGGGGAGATGGGAAGCCGAGAGCCAACCGTCAGCCCCCGCCTCACATGTCTCACCATGGTGGGGGCTGGACACCTGGCCGCCGGGGGGTGGGTGGGGGGGTTCCGTGGATAAGCCAAGGGCGAGCATGGATAACCCTTGAATAAGACCCGAGGGTTTAACAGGCAATACCCCCTTCACCTGATCAAGGGTTCAGGTGAGGTGATAGCTTTGGGAGGCCCATGGCCTTTTCGGGAACTGGACCTGGGCATTGATCATCTTTGATGGCCTTGGCCAATAGAAACCCAACAAGTAAGAGCCAAACGGTCATACAAGCCTGGCTTTTGACAACTGCCCCCAGCAAGTTTTGACATCCAGGAAGGAAACAACAGGTGGTGTTGAACACATCTTGGTGAATGAATGTCCTTCATGCCCTTGCGTACCCATTTATCCGGCCACACACAGCAAACATTTGGTTGCATCATCACAAGTCACCAAGTTGAAATTTGCAAACTAAAACCTTTGTGAGGACACTATAACCTGTGCTAGGCATGTATTCCGAGTTTAGCCTATCGTCCCGCTTCCTGACAGCTGTTCAAGTACCTCCTTCTAGAGAAAATCTGCAAACATGCATGCCATTCAGCGGCCTACAATGATCTTCCCGCAAAACCGGGACATGAGGCAACCGAATTGTCGTCCGGGCTTTCCCATTTTACACCTGGAGGCCTCCTTCAAGGGTGTTTGCGTGGCACTGGGGCAGCATGGCTTGGTAGTTTTGTTGCTTGGGGAGGGGGGGGGGTTGGCGAATCAAGCGAAGAAAGAGCAGACACGAGCAGACACACATTCCAGGGAACCAAATCACAAATGAAAGGTAAGCTGATGCAAACTGCCGGTGAAACTCCATGACCAGACCCGCAGTTGCTGCGGCATCTGCCTTGTGGATGGAACATTGTGGAAACCCAAAGCGCAAAACTGGCCAACAAAAATAGATAAACAAACTTGAGACTCTTGAGACCTCCGGCTTTCTGTCTGAGGACCTACTTACATGCCCTCGATACCCAGAACCCACGCTGTAAAGCAACGTGTGTAACCTGGGGCAGCCATGCCAAAACTCGAGCGACTAATAAACACATACATGAATACATTCGCGCGCATACACAAACACATGTATGTATGTGCATATATATAATATTGTAACGATGTATCTGTTTACACACTTATGAATATGTAAAGGTACACGGCGATATGAAGACCCGTAACTATGTTGGTTCCCTGTATGGCTATGCCATAGATTGAAATAGTCACAACTTCCTTCACCAAGTTGTGCTTCATATCGCATCTTCGGCCTTGGAAACAATCTGCTTGCCATGGGGTCGTTACGGCTGTTCCCTGGACAACACCTCTTACAACCAGTTGCAATTTTCCCCCAAGTTCTGAAGTAAGAGCTGAATATTTGCTAAGCATCGACCTGGCAAGTTCAAACTGGGATATGTACAGCCCGAAGCGGCGCGGTCCGCGCCTTGAGGCTGTTCATCGTCACCGGCCGGCACTGCCCGTGTGAGGGGTTGGCCATGGGCTCGCCTCAGCCAAGTTTGCTGCTTCCATTTGCTTCGCCAGCCAAAAAAAACAGAAACTGATTCAACCAAAAACGGGCCATATGCAAACGCTGGCTTCTGGCTCAAGGAAAGCCTAAGGCCTGAAAAAGGTCAAGACTTTTCTTGAGACTTCCCGAACAGGACAGTGTTTCCTTCGCGCGCGGGTCTTGATGTCCTTGGGGCCGAAGCCTGCGAGCCGAGGGGCGCTTCTTGTAGCCTCCCGCGAAGCAGGCGAGGAAATCCTTGAGCTTCTGCGTCTGCGCCGGGTGGACTTTCAAGGCCTGGCGCCGGAGGGACCTGCAGGAACCTGCAGGAAACCTGCAACCAGCAGCCCAAAGCAACCCCCAAGCAACCCCCCCCCAAAAAAAAGAATCCCAAGGAACCCCAAAGCAACCCCCAAGGAACCCCCTCAAAAAACTCAAGGAACCCCAAGGAACCAAGGAACTTGCAAGAATTTCAAGGAACTGAACCTTTCTCCCATGGAACCCAAATGGGCCCCTCCATGGAGATTCTCTGGGATGGGTTTAGGTTCCCTCCGTAGGGTCCGAAAATTTTAAGCAGCCCGTCCGTCTATGGGAGGGGATATTGCCATCAGGAAACACCTCTCGCAACGTGACGGGCAAAACCTTTCCAAATCCTGGGGCTGACAAGGTCCCCCTGGTTCGCAGAACCCATCGGCTAGCACTGGCACCCCTTCTTAAAACCTTCCAAGAATCTGTCCTTGCTTCGAGCCTTGGTTCTTTCACTTTCCCGATCTTTGTTTTCACCCATCCTTTGGGAGCCTGCGGGGTGTAATTCAGATCATGCCTATGGAGTCCGAGGATCCACCACACGTCTCCCCAGGGCGACCTGTCTCGTACAGGTCCAAACTTCCAATAGGCCATTGGGGCGCCAGACACCCGCTTTGCTATACCAACGTGGCCCATCCACCAGCGCCGAACTGGCCCCATCTTTGGCTACCATTTCCCCAACCAAAACTCCGATCGCTAGCTCCGAAAGCTTCCCTCGATGAATTGACGGCAAACAAAATCCCCAGCTCGGCGGCTCCCGGATCCAACCGCCGACGATTCGCTTTCTGCGCGGAGCTCCGTCACTCTTAAGCAATCAACGCCTCTCACTTGTCCCTGGGCATCCATATGTTCACTGGCTATTCACTTCACTCGGTGTTGGCGGTTGCCCTGATGGTCTCGAGGTCCTGCATCATGCGCCAGTGTCCGGAGCCTCTGAGGCGGGAGGAGTCCCAGAAGGCCTTGGGATCCTTAGACCCGGACTTGTAGTACAGCAACTCCGTGGCGTACATGTCCTCGTCCTTGCCCCGGATGTACTGGTACATCATCAGCGGCGGCAAACACGGCCACACCACGGTGCGGCAGAAGGTGCCCAGCTTGATGACGTTGCAGAAGGTCTGGGGGTTGGCCTCGAGTCTGCCAAAGCCCACAAGCGGAGGGAGCACACGTTGCAGTTCGTGTCAGCTCCTTTCTCTTGCTGGTGCTCAATGACCTTACAAACCATCTTCTGTGGTTTCCTTTGAGGGGACCCCTGGGTTCGTTCCCCCATTCCCTACTGAGCACCAGCAAGTTGTTCACTCTCTGCTAATTCAGCTGCTCTCTGAATGGTGGGTTGGGTCGTCCCGTGGTTTGGTGGCTTCCCATTCCAAATCCAAACCACCAATCCAAACCAGCTAAGGGTCACTTAAGCAATGCGGATTCCCTGGATTCCCCCTACAAGAGTTGCAAGTGACCGGAAGGGTTCGATAGAAGCCGTACCTTTGGAGAGTTCTCTTGAAATTCTCTTGAGCCGGCCTGCCATGCCGGCCCCACACTCAGTGAGGCCACACTCCTAAGGAACATGCCAATCGCTTGCCAATCGCTTAACCGAAGCCATGGACCTGCGGGTTCTGCATGGACCCCAGAAATGGGCACCGTGGCCCCCTCTTACGCCGGAAGCCAAGGGCCATGGGCGCGAGAAGTCACGTGCCGAGACAGACTTCGGACCAAGGTGGCCCCAAGCCCCTCATGCCGCCATAGGTAGCGCACGAGAAATGGCATGACCCCTGTGAACCATCCCCTACCCCTGGGTTATCCATGGTTATCCTGGGTTCAATCCCTCTAGTAAGCACCAGCAAGCCATATATCGCATACAGTTCGTACCTGAGGGGGACAGGAGCATTGAAAGGGATGGTGGGATGCATTTCCCCCCCAAAACCGAGATCCGGAGCTGGAGTTCAATCCAAAGGGACCCCTATGGCCAAACATGGCTTGGTGTTTGCGGGTTCTGAGCAAATGAGGGAATAACTCTTTTCCAGCCATCCCTTGGCTTGAACGGGCCTGCAACACGGGGGTTACTCGCACTTAGAGATATTCAACTCTTCGGCCTGCGGCGACGTCACGAACTTGTGAGCCAGAATCGCCAGCTCGCCGATGCTCGCCATCTCCGGCACTCGAGGCTTGGGCCTTTACACTCGAGGCTTGGGCCTACAAATGGCGAGCCGCTCGCCCGGACGGGCACGGCACATGCCCGGGACAATGCCCGAAAAGCGCCGTGACAACGGATCTCCGGCAGAGTAATATCTCCACAGGGCTTCCACCAGGGGATCCGAAAGGTCGCGAAGTCGCTGGCTAGTTGAACACTCGCTGGTTAGAGTATAGGATGTTGGCGATGGGCTCAAACAAGCGAAGCCAAGAAAAGAAGAGACACGGCAAAGCTAGCACGCAAGCAAGCTTCCAAGCTCAAAAACAGCAAACCAAACAAAGATCAATGGACACCTTGGAGCGGATTGTTCCGCAAGGCTTGCCTTCGTACTTTTGCTGCCGCTCCTCCAATGAACATGATTCCGGCTGGGTTGCTTTCGGGAGACGAGGTTGAACAAATGATATCCTCGTGGTGTTGTTCGAAGGGGAGAACCCACAAATGATGCTTCACGTTGGTATCAAGGCAGGCTTGCCACGATTCAACTAGGCATAAATGACGCTGCCAGAGCAAATCGACTCGAAATTACCATGTACCAAATTGCGGCAACCTACGGACTTTGACGATTCACTGCAGTAGCTCTCATTCTTTTCTAGCCGGAAGCGATGTTAGCATTTAAGTTGCTTGTCGCCGGGCGCTAGAAGGCCATTCACTCGGTGTTGGCGGTTGCCCTGATGGTCTCGAGGTCCTGCATCATGCGCCAGTGTCCGGAGCCTCTGAGGCGGGAGGAGTCCCAGAAGGCCTTGGGATCCTTGGACCCGGACTTGTAGTACAGCAACTCCGTGGCATACATGTCCTCGTCTTTGCCCCGGATGTACTGGTACATCATCAGCGGCGGCAAACACGGCCACACCACGGTGCGGCAGAACGTGCCTTCCCAACTGGTGGTATGTACCGACAAACAGCTGTTGTTTTGGTTTGCCTGTTTTTTTCTTTCGTTAGCCGCACTTCCACCAGCAGAATCCCCGCCAACAAAAGTGTAAAAGCACAGCCCCCCCAACAACAAAAATAATAGAACACCCGAAACAAATATATATATATATAAACAATAAACAAAACACACACACACACACACACACACACACACAAACACCAAAAAAGAAAGAACACCACAACAACGAATCAACAGTGGAGGCGCCCAGCTTGATGACATTGCAGAAGGTCTGCGCGTTCGCCTCGCGCAGACGGAAGGCTTGCCGGGGCAAGCAAAGCTTCCCTTATCTTCACCCGAAGGGACGTGCGTCCTGGGACGAATGCCAAGACCCTGGAGGGGTTACAGTTGAAAAATGCGGGGTCGCCAACTCTAAGGTAAGCTTGGAAACACAAGTACCAATGAGGTACCCTGGTTTTGGTGCCTGTCACTACTGTTGGAGCCTAGAAATCAAGGCAGAGCTTCTAGAATCGCGAGGACAAATTTGGGCCTCGGTGGATCTCTCTGTTTCCATGGACACTTGCAGGTTGGTTTTCTTTGGTTAGTAACTCAAAGGCTCCCTATGCCTCCCTTGGATGGCCCCCCCCTAAAAAAAGAGCAGACACCTTTTTTTTTTGTGTAGCTCAAATTGCCCAAACCAAACATAATCATGTCCATGAGCTCCAGGAACGAATTTGACACAAACCGCACGCATCTCTATATTCGATCTCACGCGACAAAAACTCCCCCGACTCGCGACCGCCCCCAAAGCGGCAAGCGCCTGCGGAGCCGTGACGAACTTGTGGGCCAGGATCGCCAACTCTCCGATGCTCGCCATGACGGGAAAGAAGCCTCGAGCAACAAGAAAAGGTATCTTCCATTTGGTTAAGGCCCCAGGAAAAAAAACAAACATCTTTCCAGTAGTGATGAATGCCGTTTAAACCCAACAACGAAAACCAAAAAAACTTAAGCAAATGGAGGACATTGTCACTCTTCTTGCGGCCCAGCATTTTTCCGGAACCCGGCAAACAAAAAAGGATGTAGAGGGCGTGAGAACACATGTGCCGTTTGGCTGTTTGTTGCCTGAGTTTAAACGGAACCTGAGTGGTCTACATCGCACAAGGTTGGTCTCAATTCAGCCAAACAAAAAGACCTTTGGCCCTCGCACCGGTTTCTTGCAAAGGTGTACCGACCGAAGGCAAAACGAAACGTGCAGTCATCAATCCCTTTCGGGTCTTCATTGCGGAAGGGAACAATGGGAGAAGAGAATGGAGCATATATCATTCATGAATCCTTAATTCGGGCAAATAACAACGAACAACAAAAAGAAACGAGGAAGAAACAAGCGGAAAACACCTGTATGGGTGTGGGTCAAAATTAAACCACCAGGGGACCCCAGGTTTTAGTCCTGGGTTCCATTTACCAGGGTCCCATTTTGGGTACCCATTTTTGACCCATGGCCATATGACCCATATGCCACTGGTTGTGACAGGTGGCCTCCGTGGTAGGACCGATGTTGCACGTCCACTTGAGCCGAGCGCAAAGGGCAAGACTTGTTACGATGAACACACGACGGGACAAAGAGGCGAGGCTCACTTGGTCGGTGTGATGTTTACTTCCATTTGCCTAAGTCCCATGGAAAAAATGTGGACACAGTTCTGGTAGTGATAGATTCGCTGTAAAACCAAAAGGCGCACATATTATTAAGCACATGGAAGCTTAAAAGCAAACACAGGAGAGAATTGTGGGCTCCTCGACGAATTGTCGCAAAAAAGAGAGGCTGAAGTCTGGGTTGTTCAACCCCCATTCCCGAATCCGCAACCTGTAGTGGGGCACAACGACAAGGGACTCCGTTGACTCCTATCTGCTAGAAGGATTCAGGATTGACTTGAAGAACAGTGAGTCTCGAGGTGCTGACAGAGTAATCCACTCGGAACTGGCTCCAAACAGTGGGGCCCGATGTTCTGAATTCAGTTGTTGGGGACCTGAAAGGGCCGCTCGCTCCAGGCCTCCCAAAACCATTGCCATCCCCACGCAACTGCCTGGGTTGCAAACAAACAAGGGAGTTGGCTCATTTCCCCTAGGTCCTCCAGTAGAGAGGACCTAGAATCTGGGTACCTTTTCTTTTTGTCTGTAGTCTATTTTATTAGTGGAACTTCGGAACCTCCCAACCAAAAAAGGGGCAAAAGGGCACTACTGGGGGACTTGGTCCCATAGGAGTTTCCTCCTTTTTTGCCGGCTTCCATCTTCGTCTGGGGAGAAATCGATGATCCCGTGCAGGCTCAAGGTGGAAGTCAAATGGAAAGATCTGCCTCTCGCCGTCTCGCTGCCTTTTAACTCTCGCTGGTGCTTGGACCTCTTGGAGTGTGCCGAGAACAAACCAGTTCTCGGATGCCTGAGGCGCAAGTCCGTCTGAAACAAATTCCTGATAGGTCGGCCCCCTTCTCAACCTTTGGGGATTGATGTTGGCGACAACTGCATTCACAGTACCAACTTCACCTTAAGGTCCAAACGTGCAACATGTAAGATACCGAGCCTCCCATCCGCCGCACCTGTCGAGTGGCACTCTGTTTTTTCTCCGCGCACTTCTCTTTAGACCGTATCAAGAACCAAGAAATCAAAAAAGGCGCTGCTGCAAGTGCCACTTCACTCGGTGTTGGCGGTTGCCCTGATGGTCTCGAGGTCCTGCATCATGCGCCAGTGTCCGGAGCCTCTGAGGCGGGAGGAGTCCCAGAAGGCCTTGGGATCCTTAGACCCGGACTTGTAGTACAGCAACTCCGTGGCATACATGTCCTCGTCCTTGCCCCGGATGTACTGGTACATCATCAGCGGCGGCAAGCACGGCCACACCACGGTGCGGCAGAACGTGCCTTCCCAACCCGTGCTATGTTTTATCAAAACCTTTCTTCTGTCCCGGTTTGCAGCCGCACCAACAAAAAGCAACAAGGACAAAGACCGGTTTCACAAAACAAAAACAACGGCAAAAACAACAAGCAGCAAGGACAAACAAACAAAGACTGATTTCACCAAAAACTTTAAGACCACGTCCCAGTTCAGGTGCCCAGCTTGATGACGTTGCAGAAGGTCTGGGGGTTCGCCTCGCAACTGGAAGTGAAGCGGGTAGCTTCAACCCAGCATCTTACAGGGGTCACTGGATTTTTCGATTGAAATGTCACTGGGTTCCATTGAAACCATCGATCTCCACTTTTGGAGGTTCTAAAAAGGGACATGGAGGAATCACTGTCTGAGTCAACCCGGCTCCTTGCTACTAGCAAAGTCGGATGTTCAACAAGGAGTCTAAATCGCCGACAGACGAACAACGAGACACAAAATAAATGGACGGACACCCAAACAAACAGCCAGGTGGCTTCCTGGGGTAAGAAAAACATGCGGTTCATTCGGCCAGCCAGGCGGGTTGTTTTGCAATACTCACTTGCCGGAAGGATCTGGACATACAAAATTCGCCTCGGCCCCAAAGGGGCCAAGGGCGCTCAGATCTCTTCTCCAAAGAGAATCTTCGCTTTTCCCCTCCCCCAACCCCCTCCCCAACCAAAATTTTGCCGGGCCGCCCCCCCCCCCCACCCCCCCCCACCCATGTCGGCTGGCCCAAAATCCTGTCCGGCGGGCCTTGAAATTTTCGGGGTTCGTCGGCGTCCAGCTCCATGGGTCCATTTTTGTCGAACATGTGCTGACAATTGCGAAATCACTAAAACTGCTTTTTTCCTGAAAAGCATGACCTCCTGCTGGCCAGGCCTGTCTGACGTGTCTGAGACTAGGCTCAGGCCCAGCCCAACCAGCAACCCGGTTGCTGCTGGCCAGGCCTGTCACCCAGCCCACCCAGCCTCAGGCAAAACAGGCCTAGCAGGCCCGCTGGGCCGGCCCCCAGCTCCCAGCCCACCACCAGGCTCAGCCCAGCGTGCCAAAGGTCGGTTTGTCTAACGTGTCTGAGACTGGCCTCAGGCCAACGACCAGTCTCACGTGTCTGAGACTGGTCTCAAGCTACGCCTACTAAGCCTGTCTGACGTGCTCCTGCTCGCGTCTAGCCCAGCCCCTTCGGCGCAGTCTGACACTGGTCTCAAGACTAGCCTCAGGCCCAGTCCCTCAGCCCGCCTGCTGGCGTGTCTTACGTGTCTGCGACTGGCCTCAGGCCCAGCCCAGCCAGCAACTCGCCACCCAGCCTCAGGCCCAAGTGTGTATGAAACAGGCCTTGCCCATCCAGCAACCCGCCCAAGCACAGCTCAGCCCAGCCCGTAGTCCGGCTGCAGCAACCCACCCTGCCCAGCCCAGGCCCGGCGCATCTCAGGCATGCCAGCCACTAGGCCGGCCCCCAGCTCCCAGCCCACCAGCCAGCGTGCCAAGGTCAGGCCTCAGCCAACACGTGTCTGAGACTGGTCCCAAGCCATGCCAGCTACTAAGCCTCTCTGACGTGCCCCAGCGCTCAGCCCAGGCTGGCCAGGCCTTGACCTCCTGCTCGCGTCTGGCCCCAAGTCATCCAGCAGCCCCAGCCCCTTCGGCGCAGTCTGAGCCTGGTCTCAAAGTATGCCAGCCCGAGACTAGCCTCAGGCCCAGTCCCTCAGCCCGCCTGCTGGCGTGTCTTACGTGTCTGCGACTGGCCTCAAGGCCCAGCCCAATTGGGGATATTTTTCCGGGGTACTTAAGCAAATGGAGGTTTGTATTCCCACCATGTACCTGTCTTGGGCTGAGCAACCGAGCAAGAAATGTATGTCATGGCAAGCCGCCAGCCACGTGAAATGGAGGTGCCCAAACACCCAAAGTTGGTCTTGGTTGTTCAGTGACACCAATTATTGTTCCCCTTTTTATGGAGGCCAAGCCCCACTAAAAATGCTCATCCCCAGAAAGAGGTCCTTTTTTTTCCAAGGGCACTGAGCAGCTGAGATAGTCTTGGTTTTGGATTTCAAACCTTCCGAGCAGGACGGCTTCCGAACATCGAACTTGCACGGGCGAACTGGTGCGGTCACAAGCTTTCAGTAGGATTCGGACCTTCCCAACACTGGATTTCGGTGTTCCTGACCCTTCCCTCAAACTAGGCTGGGCCGAGGCGGGCAACGCGAAGCGTTTACAATTATCACCTTCTGGAACCTCTAAAAATGGACCAAAAGGGAAAATTCATGTAGGTCAAAGTTCGGACCTCTAAAATATGTTGGCCGAAAAGGGAAAACCATTCGGTCAAAAGGTCGAAATCGAATCGCTTTAAAACCAAAAAGGGGGAGACACAAAAACATACACATGTTAGGGGTCTACCCAAAACCGGAAAGAATCAGGGCGGAGACCTGCACAACTACACTTCTGGTCAGTGTCCTATGAGTCTCCTCTTTCCTGGAGCCCCCGGAAAACATAAGAATATGTCCAGTAGCTAGATTTTCCAACTTTGAAACCAATAGGTTGAAAAAGATGGGAAAAACAGACATATGAATTTCAGCCAATGGAAGGTGTTTTTTTCAGAAACCATAAACAACAGCTTTTTTTCACGTAAAACACACTTTCTTTTTCCGAGAAACCAAAGGAAGAGACCAAAGCCAGGGTCCTGTTCAACCCATGTCCCTCTAGCCGAGGCCTGCGGGGAGGTGATGAACTTGTGGCAAAGGATCGCCAACTCGCCAAGGCTTGCCTTGAATTGACGCGCTTCGTTTTGCGGTTTTGGGGTTGGTTTCTTGGTGCATGGCTGTCCGTGATTTTTACAAAATGTGCCCAAAACCTGAAATAAGAAGAATAGGGATCTGCCAGTACTTGGCGAATATTAGGACCCCAGCAAAGGTCCTATATTTTCTGCCTGGTTAGCTGAAGACAAAGGGGACCCCCAAAAAAGCAAAAAACGAAAAGGGGAGCCAGTTCTGGGGAAGAGTCAAGGATCTTTGCCATGGTGAGCTCACTCGTTTTGCCCCCGGATCGGTGAGCTCACCACAACTTATGCAGAATCCCTCACCTTAAGGGGGAGACAGGTGGTCCCCAAGTCCATTTATCAAGCATTCCCCATGACGAGGAAAATAAAATCAACGGAATCTCAGGGATTCCAATTCCCTGGCCCCAATTCCTTTTCTAAATGGGTGGGGATGTTGAAGGGAAACCAACACTAGAAGTTTGCGGGCCTTGATGTTTCCCGGTTGCCATTTTGAATGTGTTAAGCACCCAAAAGACAGGTCCATCTCACCTCTCTCGCTGAAAGTAGGCGAAATTCTCGGTGGAGGGCAAAGGGGATGACAAACCCATGGGTTGGAATTGTGCCATCTGCCTTCACTATTTGGCTGAAATCCCTAACAGCTTTGGCTGAGATCCCTCAGAGCCCCTTTGAAGTTCCTGGAGAACTTACGGTACTTTAAGCTCTTTCTCATCACCCATCCTAAGTGTACCTCCCTTTGAACTTTTTGACGTACTCCAACCATCCAAGATTTCTTCAACCCTATGGGGGTCTGTCTAGGCCTGCAGTCTTGCTGTATTACTGCACGAAATCATCCATGTACACCTTTTGCAGGTCCCCTTGCACGTGCCCTGTGGTCAAAAAACGGCACCCGCTAAACAAAAAACCCGGCCCCGTGGTAACGGTTCATTTTTTCTTTACTGTGCCCAAAAAACAAAAACAACAAAGAGAAGAGCAAAAAACGTCTGCCATTGGATCGCGCTGCCATGAGCGCAGCAAGGAGCGGAGAGTTGCTAAAGCTCTCGGCTGTGACCCAGAAGGCTGGCGGTGTGCACCTACTTCCCTATGTCCTCCGGTAGAGAGGTTAGAACAAGGATACCCTTGTTTCTGTAGTCTATTTTAGTGGAGCGCTCCCCCAAAAAAAGGGTTAAAAGGGCACTACTGGGAGATCTAGTTTCTGCGCGTGGCGACATTTTACCCAAGGGGGCGATGTCTAGAAATGCTTGACCTTGCCGAGTTTCGCATGTAACATGAGAAGGCGAAGGCGTCAGCTTCTCCAACATGTGAACGGCAACTCATTTTGATGATGGTGATTTGGATCTAGCTGGGTTCTTGAAAACGGGGAAGGGTGCCCCACTATTTGGTAGAAGGATTCAGGATTGATTCCGGTATGGGTCAAACTTAAACCACCAGGATATGGACCGCAGGTTTTTGTCCTTGGTTCCATTTACCAGGGTCCCATTTTGGGGTTACCCTATTTTGACTTATAACCATTTGAACAACAGGTTGAATCCCCAGACGTCGGAATATTGGCGATGCTGGCTCCCAATTCTTGATGTGACTAAAGCCGGAGGCCAAATCAGGGAAAAGGGCAAACACTTGGCAAGTGGGAAAGGTCAGTCTTTATTCTTTCCACCAGGCAAGCATAACGCTCCGGAATCTCGAGGAGTGATTGGAACCCCTATGCAGCACATGAGATCGGACGGGCGAGGTGAGGGCGTGCTCTGTGAGCGCCGTTTCGCAGCATACCCGCCACCCAGCATCAGCGGCAAAGTCTGCGACTTGACCCAAACCACATTCTTTGCCCCATGTGGGACCTAATGTTGACATATCAACCAACTCCAGTTGATGAACAGGGGGTTGTCCCTGGGTTTCGGGGGGAACAAGGCCACTTTTGGAGAGCCAAACACCACCACCCCTATGAATATGGTTGGTTGATTAATCTGGGGTCAATGATTGTTGACTTCAGCCCCACCCCCCTATGAATAAACTAGGTTCATATGGGCCTTCAGGGACATCAGACCACTGTATGAGGGGTGTTCCCCCAACCTCCACCCCCCTATGAATAAACTAAACCTGGGGTTTCTATGGGGTCAACCTCACCCTTTCTTTCCAAAAGCACCGCCTGGCCCAGCACGATGTACTTCACAGTCTCTGAGCAGGGCGGCACCTCAAGCTGAGCAAAACGTGAACTCTTCTGAAGGTCGACCTTCTTTGATGGAAGTTTTGTCCAGAACCCACCAAGATGTTCACACCTGGCTTTTGGGCCACACGAAAAAAGGTGGCGGGACCCGGCCAGTGGCTTCCGCACAAACACACTTGGGAAGTGCCGAAATGGTCGACCTCCATTCTAACAGGTTTCCTGGTGGTTTCCCTTAAGGAAGCTACGCTGGAAATCGTTCTTGTTGACCCGGACGAAGAAACACGTGGTTGATTGTTAGGGTCGTCCCCCTTGTGAAGGTCAGCCGTGGACTCCAGCGGGGCTGAGGCCCCCTCCGGCACGGAGCCGTCGTAGCTGTAGCTGGGGCCACCCAGCGCGTCCTGCGAGAAAAAAAAAACAACATTTGGAATCAG